AAACTTTATTGGAGCCGTCGGAGCACAAACACGTCAGATTAACAAAATCCTGCTGATAATACTACTACTAGTACTACTACTACGTGTGAGTACTTCTTTCACAGCTTCTTTAACCCCATGTGAGATGTTCACACACACACACACACACACACACTGAATAAGCTGCTGGCGTGACCTTGGTGTGTAAAGTCTGCAGCGCGAGCAGCAAATCAGAGCTCAGAGAGCAATGCAACAGCTAAAGGGGGATTTTGTGTGTGTGTGTGTGTGTGTGTGTGTGTGTGTGTGTGTGTGTGTTTCTATCTACCTCATTACATCAGTGGCCGTTGTGAACATAATCAGAATTCAGAAGCTGAAATAAATCACAAACTGTGTCTCGCACAAACACAAAGTCTCCAACACACACACACACACCGACGTACAAACCAGTTGTGTAGGTGTGTGCGTGTCCCCTTCAGAGCAGAATGGAATGAGCTGTCAATATGTCATTTTTAGGTGCTTGGTGAAGGAAGGAATGCAAAGTGAAAAGAACATAAAATACACACACACACAGACACACACATGCAGAGAGACACACACACGTATGAGTTGTGAACCTTCCTGATGACGGACATTTGTTGATTGGATTTCTCTCACACATGAAAACCCACAACTACACACACAGTACACACATGTACACATGTACACATGTACACACACAGTACACACAGTACACACATGTACACACACACAGTACACACATGTACACATGTACACACACACAGTACACACATGTACACACACAGTACACACATGTACACATGTACACACACAGTACACACATGTACACACATGTACACACACAGTACACACATGTACACACATGTCCTGGCGTGCATAGAGACAGAGGACGATCCCACGAGGACAGTTTGAGTCTCAGTGAAGCTCAACACTTCCACCTGCTGTCTCAGCAGGAAGTGGAGGGGGGACCCTTTACGCGGTCGCACGCTGGACCCAAGTACACATGTCAGGTACTTTGTGGTCGTTGGGAGTAATTGTCTTTCACGCCACGTTGTACTTCTGCTCTCGCGCAGTAATCACGCGGCTTCAGCTGCTTTGAGGACTTTTCTAAACCAAATGTTTTGTGGCAGAAACGTCGTCTGAGAAGAAAAAGGATTTAAATCATCAAGTAGTTTTTCTTGGTTCCACATTCTCGGCTTTTCTTTTAGATGTTTATAATAATAATGTTTTGGTAATATTTTAGTCTTTTGGATATTTTCTCACTATTTTCACTCATTTTACGAACAAAACAATCGGATCAATTAATGAAGAAAAGAATCAGCTGATTAATGATCCTTTCGATGACTAGTTATCAAAATCAACTGAACAACTGGGAGAGTAAAGAAACCTGCTGTCATGAGTAATAATACACCGATGATTGAATACACAACAGTTATAACTGTCTGTTACATTTGATTTGGTTTGTTAAAACTCACTCATCTAATTAGGAATATTAATTAAATATTAAATCCCGCTGTACAGTTTACTCTGAACTCAAGAGTACTCTCTGTACATACATAGTATTTGTACATAGGAAGTACATCTCTACTGGGGATTTTTTCCGTTTGGAACCTGAAGACTGAGAACATCTGTAACGCGTCCGCGTGACTCCACGTCTGTCAGCAGCGACTCTCTGTAGTCGTATTGATCCTCAATCAGTATATTGATCGTAGTTTACACGGAGCCACACGTCAGGCTCAGTATTCATCACATTTCTCATTCTTCACTCAAGCATTTTGCTAAAGTACATCAAAGCAAAGGAGGTGTCGATCGCGTGCGTTTGATTCTTATATATGACAATAATAATAACATATATATTATATATATAATATAATGGTTTGACCGCCGCGATGAGGGTGCGCTGCAGGTGGGCGCCCTGCAGGGGGCAGCAGCGCTCCGTCACAGCTCATCAAATCATAAATCATTTATTATACGTTTATCATATTATACATTCAATCAGACACCAGGTGACTCAACACAAACCCTTTTTACCTTCTACCTCTTCTTTATCTTGTATTATCACCTGTCGTCATGGCGATCCGTCATATACATTATGAACTAATCGTCCAATACGATTACTAAACATGATCATTTCAAAGTAATACATGAAATAAAGGTATTTCCTCATTTTTATTTGTTATTTGTTATATTTTAATTTCTCAGGTTTGACATTTATTCATGTTGCCATTATTTTTAATTTAATGGCAACTTCTATTCATGTTGTGTACTTTAATAAAAATAATAATACTGTTACACATACTAATAATGCATTGAAAAATTGTGCGTGTGTGTGAGTAATATTTGAGGACATTAGGTGGAGACATTCCTCCATGTTCACGAGTAGTTTACAAAGTGCAGTAAATATCATCATAATATTCATGATTATCATTTCTACCACATGATGAATATGTTGAGTTCTACGTGTCCGTTAGTTATAAATATAATGAACAGTTTAATCTGGTTTATTTGTACTAAAACTTATGATTTACATCATATCAACATGTGCTGAACACCTAAATTAGAGCTGTTTAAGTAACATAGTTTAAATTAAAGTAAAGTGTTGATTAAACAAGAAAAAGATCTACAAAGAAACAAATCACTTTTTATGAGTCTTGATTAATTAAATAATAATGTTTTTGAAGCTGCTGCGGTCAACTGAAACTTTTTCTCCCTGCTTTGTCTTTCTCGTTGACCCATTTATTCACACACACACACACACACACACACACACACACACACACACACTCTCTAGGTCATGTGCTGCTCTGCTTCCATCGATCTGGAGGAAAGGAAACGGGAGAACGCTCCACTATAAATACGCTCGCTGCCCTTCTGCCGTCCTCCTCCGTCCTCGTCCTCCATCTTTCTGTCCCCTCAGGTGAAGCTATTTCTGTATCCACCTATGAACTGCTCTGAGCCTCGTGAGAGCAGGTGACACACAAACGCACACACACACACACATTCTTTGACATGTTCGACTTGACATGTTTTGACTTAAAACGTAAGACGACTTTTGATTATTTTCGATGAGATTTTTCCATCTCAAATGATCTTTCTGACTCCGCCGCAAAGAACCGCACACGCAGCAGCTCGTCAGTGTGAATAATTTAATGCAGTTACATTGTCAATACATGTGCGCTGTCACTCACGGGGAGGAAGCAGCTCCTCTTCCCGACCTCAATTGGTAAACAGGAAACAACAATAAAAGGTTTGGCGTAATATTCTTCTGTAAACCTGCACAATAAACACAGTGTTCACTCAAACACATGCTCTGGATACAAGTACCTCTATCTGCTCATATAGTGAGGAACACACACACACACACGTCAGTAAAGACCCCACAACTAGAAACAAACCACATCGGCCATCAGTACTCCCAGTGACAGAGCCCTTCAGAATAAAAGCTTGCATCATGTCACGTTTTGTACAGTTGGTCAATCGTTCCTCCATCACTGGATATTTACTCGCTTCAATTTACTGTCAATCTGGATAAAAATGAAAATAAACGCTAAAAAGTGATCGCAGTTCATTCAAAACTCAACGCAATGAAAAGAAGATGATCACTTTCTCTAGAATAAAGGTTAAAGGGGGAACGATAAATACGATGAGACTATTTAAAAGATAAAATTCACTAAGTGAACTCGGTTTTCTGAGTAGTATATAATTACTTAATATATAATGAGCCTATTTCCGAGTTAAATGCTGAATAAAAAAGGTAATGATGACAAATTCATGATTTGATTTCAGTACCGTTTGAGAAGGTGATTTGAAAAGATTTCATCATAAAAGTGAAATAAAGATTTCTTCTTTGTATCTAAAGTCCAAGTAAACAAACACATTATTCATGTTAGAGATGAACGGCTGAGACTGAACAGGAGTCACACCTTTGAAATCACTTCTTGTAATGATTAATTACTTAATAACCATTAGAGTGAATAACTATTTACCCCAAACACACACTGCAGCTTCCCAACGTGTCTCTCTGATCGTCCAATGAGCACGAGGCTGCACGTGTCTCTGCAGAGGCGAAGGCGAGATAGAACACACACCTTCCATCCTGTAGGAGCTCTGTGTGCCTGTGTGTGTCTGTGTGTCTGTGTGTGTCTGTGTGCGTGTCTGTGTGCCTGTGTGTGCCTGTGTGTGTCTGTGTGTCTGTGTGTGTGTCTGTGTGCTTGTACTGACAGGTAGAGGTGAAATGTTGTGATAATATGACAACTACGTCTCACACTGAAGGACGCTGCCGTCCTCCATCGAGGACTTTATTTCTCATATTGAGGGTTGACTTGGTTTAGTGTGTGTGTGTGTGTGTGTGCGTGTGTGTGTGTGTCGTGTTCCCTTGCTAATTAAAGACACAGCAGCAGTAGAAGCTGTATTTAAAGTTCTACACTAAATGTCACGTCCTCAGGTGGAATCTATGTAAATGAAGCAAAGCTGACCAAGACCTTAACTTCCTGTGTGTGTGTGTGCGTGCGTGCGTGCGTGCGTGCGTGCGTGTGTCTGTGTGCGTCTGTGTGCGTCTTGCATGTTGAATCTCGGACAAATGGTTTAGACGCTGAACTGAAACACCTTCTAACGGTTAATGAAATGTTCCTGAAGAGACGCTTCCTCATTCATCATTGACCTTCTCCTCCCAATGCATGCTGGGATCTCAAGCTCCGTCCACAGGTGCACAGGATAAGTTATATATTTGCTATATTAATATAAATGCGTACGTGAGGAGGATTCAACCTTTAACGTAAAGAGTTCCAATGATCCCTTTTTAAAAATTGTGTCATTTCAAATGTGTCCACTTGTTTTTCAGATACAAACATCAACTATTATATGTGATGTTTCATCTCCTTCACGTCCCGTCGGATGTTTTAATCTTCCTGTTCTCAGGTCGTCACTCAGACAGAAGGAAGAATCCTCGTTGCTTTGCGACGTCCCTCTCAGACCACGACACAGACGGGCGCCCAGAATCCCCCGAAACAAAACAGTTATTCATTTATTTCATCGTTTCCACACAAAAAAAAAAAAAAAAACCTACAAAAGCAATCCTGCACAAACAGTTCAGACCTCTGTGAGAAATCTTTGGGTTCACCGGTGAGTGAGAGGCTCTTGGACACATCGGCCCTTCACACAGCTAGCGTGTGCGTGTGCGTGTGCGTGCGCGTGCGTGCTAGGAGGCGGCCGGCTTGCTGTAGTCCTCCACCCCGGTGATGGTGGCTTTGCAGAAGAAACAGTCCTTGTTGTTCATCAGGTGCTGGTTGATACAGGCTCTACACGGGGGGAGACAACATGAGCGCAGGTCAAAGGTCAGAGCAGCGTTATTCCCCCTCGGAGAATCTGAAGCTCACTTTCAGTGCACGTCAAGTGCATTATGGGCAAGATTCATTCCTTACCTGCAGGTTAGCTTAGCTTGTAGCGACCAGTTTTCAAAAGGCCGTTCATGCTTTTCTTTATTGGTCTTTCTTTTTTTAACTCATTTTAACTAGTTTTAAAATCTTAACAAAAATGAACTAAGGACCTTTACTTCAACTCAACTACGTGGAGATCTATTGGTTTTCTTTGTGAAGTATTGTGTTATCGGTGTCGTACTCATGAAACACCGTGTTTGTTTAATCTCCTTTAGGATGAAACTGTCCGACGGCTTCAGATTCTATGCGAGCTTCTCCTTCGCTCCTCGGAGGGAACGGGATGAAGAGGCGAAGACGAGGGAGGCGAGGCGGCGCTGACGGATCGGGTCGGAGAGGAGTTACCAACGAGCCCGGGCGCTTGAGTGACACATTGATCCATGCGCCGGTGAGCCGGCGTGCCAGCTAAGCTAAATCAAGCGCACCTCCAGCAGAACATGAAATATGCATCGAGGTTTGAATCGAACCCGAAGCCTTCAGCCACAATCAGCAGTCACCAAACAGCTGACTCACATCTGCACACACGGTGTGTAGATGTGTGTAGAGGAGTTGTGTGTTTGTACGTGTGTGTGTTCTCTGTTTCAAGCACTTCGGAGGAACAGACAGCTTTAAAGACAACGGAAAGATCACAGTTTGTGCGTGTGTGTGTGTGTGTGTGTGTGTGTGTGTGTGTGTGTGTGTGTGTGTGTGTGTGTGTGTGTGTGTGTGTGTGTGTGTGTGTGTGTGTGTGCTGTTTGGATCGATGAGGCCTTCAGGAGAACGAGTGAGATGAAGATACAGCCGCTGCACATCGACCTCAGCGGAGACATTTATAACAGAATCAATTAGCTTCCTAAACGACGTCGTGTGATTAAGTGTTTCTCGATGAATCATTTTTCCGTCAATAACCGCGGACGAGTTCGCTGAAACAGACGATTTAAAGGATACGTTTAACGTTTTAAAGTTGGCCGACTGTTTGTTGAATGGTGGAGTTTAACCTTTAAGCTTCTAATCTACATTATGATCGACTGCTCAGATTAATAATTTAATCTGAATGTGGGATTGAATAAACGGAAAATAAAATCACAGAAAGATACAAAATAAGCATTAATAATTAAGCCACCAGCATGAACTATTGTGTTTCAATAAAGGACACATCCACTTTCTCTTTTCATGGATCACACGTGAACGTCCGACATCGTGACTCCTGCAATAGAAACCGGTTTCCTCCAGATTTGTGTTTATTTGTGAGCAGGCAGGTGGAGACGACTTGAGCGTGTGCGTGTGCGTGTGCGTGTGCGTGTGCGTGTGCGCGTGCTGGGACTCACTTGCAGGACTTGTGGGAGCAGGGCTTGAAGACGGCGGAGATGGAGTGAGCGTAGCAGATGGGGCAGAGGTCTTCTTCGCTGGTCGGCTACGAGGGAGAAAGGACGGGTCAGTTTGTCAGAACATCTGGGACACATCTGGGACACATCCAGGGTCATCCTCGATGTTTTTATTTAATTTAAGAATAAAGGAGGAGTTTAACACATCCGGTGAAATCCTCTTCTGCTCGTTCTCGCGTGTCAGCAGACACAACATGTAGGTTTTTTTAAATCTGTTTCCAGCCAATAGAAGTTTATTGTTCAAAAGTATATAGTTATTTTCCAGAGATAAGCAGCCTGACACCTTAACGGTATCTTTAGCCCCAGTGCATCATGGGTCGTCTGAGGTGACACCACAGGTGTCGACAGAGACGCCTTTGTGGAGAGAACCATCATCACCATCATCATCATCATCATCACACCGGCTCTCACAGCCTTTTCTTCACTTGTTTCATCGGTTCCATTCATACGTATTCACTTCACAACCTTCTCAGCGCGTCCTGACCTTCTCTCCTCAAGCCCTCTTCCCCATCTCCTTCAACCAAGCTCTCGCTCCTCCGTATCTCACCCTTCAACCCCCCTCCTCCTCCTCCTTTGCCCCCGACCCAACAGCTTCTCCTCCCCTCTCCTCCCTCCCCTCTCCTCCTCGCCTCCCGCCCCTCTCCATCTCCATATGTCGGCTGTGAACAATAGAGCGCTGCAGGCATAATGCATTTTTGTATTGTAAAATGTAAGGAACTCCACCAGGGTCACATGACCTCACGTAAAGGATATAAACTGAGCTATTTTACGTTGTGCGACAGACGAAGGGAACAGGAAGTCATTTCCATATTTTAGGACTCCTTCCCTGCATGTTTGCTATTTTTCCTTAGTGAATCTACTCCGTCCGTTGGGAAAAGCTTCTCTCCTTTCGTCCGCTCGCCGACAACTGTGATCTCCCGCCGATCGTTTTCACATCACCTCCAACGTTCTGCCTCTTCTGAGAGTGAATTCTGCTTCCTGTTCTCTAACATGTGACACGCTCGGTTTAACAGCATATTCATCGACACGTGGACATGAAAACATGGTGCTTTACACGGAGGAGGTGTAAAGGATATTAAAGGTGACCGAGATAATTCTTTATTACAATGACGTGTTTAATTGGATTCGGATTAACGTGCAGAGGTTCAGGTCTGAAAAGGGCTTCAGAGGCTTTTTTTACAGAACCTTCACGTATCTTTGACTGTCCTCGGGTCTGTTGTACCAGCTCCCACCCACCTCTGCTCCTCAGCCTCTCCTTTGTACCTCCTCCATATAAAGCACCAGCTTCCCTCACGCTTCCCCCGTCACTCCTCAACACCCACAGCTCACTGAGAGCGACTGCAGAGCTGGAACATTTTGCAAGAATGAAAAGAGCTTAATTACTTTTAGATTACAGGTGAAACCAATGATTGAGCCCCGAGGAACGTTAACATCACTACAGCAACTCAAAACTGCCTCAGACAGACTCATTACAATAACAAAGAGACTCTTAGAGACTACAAAGAGACTACAAAGAGTCATAAAGACTACACAGAGACTACAAAGAGTCATAAAGACTACAAAGATACTCATTACAATAACAAAGAGACTCATGGAGACTACAAAGAGACTACAAAGAGTCATAAAGACTACAAAGATACTCATTACAATAACAAAGAGACTCATGGAGACTACAAAGAGACTACAAAGAGTCATAAAGACTACAAAGATACTCATTACAACTAGAAAGAGACTCATGAAGACTACAAAGAGACTACAAAGAGTCATAAAGACTACAAAGATACTCATTACAATAACAAAGAGACTCATAGAGACTACAAAGAGTCATAAAGACTCAAAGACTACAAAGAGACTCATTACAACCACAAAGAGACTCATAAAGACTGCAAAGGGACTACAAAGAGTCATAAAGACTATAAAGATAATCATTACAACTAGAAAGAGACTCATAAAGACCACAAAGAGTTATAAAGACTACAAAGAGACTCATAAAGACTTCAAAAGGACTACAAAGAGTCATAAAGACTACAAAGATAATCATTATAACTAGAAAGAGACTCATAAAGACTACAAAAAGTTATAAAGACTACAAAGAGACTCATAAAGACTGCAAAGGGACTACAAAGAGTCATAAAGACTACAAAGAGACTCATAAAGACTACAAAGGTACTCATTACAACTAGAAAGAGACTCCTAAAGACTACAAATAGTTATAAAGACTACAAAGAGACTCATAAAGACTTCAAAGGGACTACAAAGAGTCATAAAGACTACAAAGATACTCATTACAACTAGAAAGAGACTCATAAAGACTACAAAGAGTTATAAAGACTACAAAGACTCAAAGACTACAAAGGTACTCATTATAACTAGAAAGAGACTCATAAAGACTACAAAGAGACTCATTATAACCACAAAGAGTCACGCTCATACACAGCGACCAAACAAATAAAAACACATAAAACTAAGAACACTATTCTGACTTTGTTCTGAAGATGATGAACTCAGTTTACTTCATTCGTGTAGATTTTTGTCCACAAACAAGGTGAGTCTGTGAGTCCTGTCAGTCTCCATCCTCCCCAACCTCCTCCTCCTGCACTTCCCTCTCTCTTTCTGCCTCATTTAAAGTTTAAGAGTTTTATTTTGTTATCCGCTGATCACCACCATGTGGTTTCTCTCAGCTCGGTACATAAATACTAATGATCAGCATTCATCTGAATTAAGTACATTAGGTCGTGTTCAACCTGTTTTATGATTTTTCTGTATTTTTCTGTTGGTTTCTAAAAAACAAAGCAAAATGTGTTAAGATCCAAAACTCCCAGAGTTCTAAGGGGGAGAGCCAGGGAGGGACAGAAAAGATGAGAGGCGGCTGGATGAGGATGACAAAAGAAAGAAAGAGAGAAAAGATGAGTGAAGGATGATGAAGAAAAGAGAGACTGAGACAGTAAGATGAGAGAGTGAAGGACGAAGAGGCAGATGAAAAATACAACAAAGATCTCTGAATTAATTTTGAGGCCAGTGAAGATGAAAGCACCAGGAGGTGGGGTTCACTCCAGCAGCAGCTTCATCAGAACGCACACAGCACACACAAAGAGAGGGAAGATGAAGTGAGGAACAATCCTCCTGAGGCAGGACTGTCATCTGGAGACACTGAAAGCACGACTGACCACGAAGAGACACAAAGCTTTCAGAGAGGAGGGTTGTAGCAGGTAGTCCCGGAGGTTGTGTTTCTGCCAGCAGCTTATCAGTGTGCAGAGAGAGTAGTGGAGGGAGAGGGCCTGAAAGTCAGGTGAGTAACAATCCCCCCCCCCCCCCCTGAGGAACAACCTTCATCGGGGAATCCTGAATGCATGGATTCACTAGAAAACAACCTAAAAGACTCTAAAACACCAAAATGCAGAGTGACCAAAAGGACTGGTAACAACCACAAAGAGACTTGTTACAACCACAAAGAGACCCGTTACAACCACAAAGAGACTCTTAACAACCACAAAGAGACTCGTAACAACCAGAGACTCATAACAACCACAAAGAGACTCGTAACAACCACAAAGAGACTCGTAAAAACCACAAAGAGACTCGTAACAACCACAAAGAGACTCATAACAACCACAAAGAGACTCGTTACAACCACAAAGAGACTCATAACAACCACAAAGAGACTCATAACAACCACAAAGAGACTCATAACAACCACAAAGAGACTCGTAACAACCACAAAGAGACTCGTTACAACCACAAAGAGACTCATAACAACCACAAAGAGACTCATAACAACCACAAAGAGACTCGTTACAACCACAAAGAGACTCGTTACAACCACAAAGCGACTCATAACAACCACAAAGAGACTCCTGACAACCACACAGAGACTCGTTACAACCACAAAGAGACTCGTTACAACCACAAAGAGACTTGTTACAACCACAAAGAGACTCGTTACAACCACAAAGAGACTCATAACAACCACAAAGAGACTCATAACAACCACAAAGAGACTCGTTACAACCACAAAGAGACTTATAACAACCACAAAGAGACTCATAACAACCACAAAGAGACTCGTTACAACCACAAAGAGACTCATAACAACCACAAAGAGACTCGTTACAACCACAAAGAGACTCGTTACAACCACAAAGCGACTCGTTACAACCACAAAGAGACTCATAACAACCACAAAGAGACTCATAACAACCACAAAGAGACTCCTGACAACCACACAGAGACTCATAACAACCACAAAGAGACTCTTAACAACCACAAAGAGACTCGTAAAAACCACAAAGAGACTCATAACCACAAGAGACTCGTTACAACCACAAAGAGACTCATAACAACCACAAAGAGACTCATTTTATATTGATAAATGTGTGTGATATTGTCACAGTTAACATATTCGTTTAAGTGACCTTCAACATCCTGATTCTAATCAGTTCAACCTTGAGTGCAAGTGGACATATGGACCAGACTTTCTTTAAATATCACGTAGCAGACGTCTGTAGCCCTGCTGCATGGGAGCATAAAACACCACATCCACCCCACAGCTGTCAGAGGGAGCGGTGCATTGTGGGTTAAACAGTCAAAGGATTCTTATGCTCTGCTGTGGGAAGGAAAATGTGGACAGGGTGACATGATGGCTCTTTGTCAGAAACGTCAGAGCATCATCAAAACAGCAGTTCCTACAGAAGAGAACACAGATGCCTGAAGAATGAACGTCTGCAGGAAGCTCACGACTTCTCCAGGCGGGCGGATACAGGCAGCCGGTGTGTACCTCTGTGTGTGTACCTCTGTGTGTGTGTGTGTGTGTGTGTGTGTGTGTGTGTGTGTGTGTGTGTGTGTGTGTGTGTTGCAGCTGTGGAGGCTGAGTCAGGAAGGTTTCTCCTGAATCCATGAGTGCTTTCTGTCCATTTGGTGCCGAATGGGCAGAAACTTGACAAAGGTCACTGCCGCAAAAAGGGGAGTATCACACAGCCCCCCCCCCCATCAAAAACCTCATCTCAGGTCATCTGTCCATCTACTATTCTATGGATGTTCTTTCCACGTGTATAGCAAAACATTTGTAAAAGAGGAGTGATGACGCTGATGAAGTGTGGACTGCCTCTGCCCACCTGCTTGTTGCTGTTCCCGTCATGTGGTCAGATTATTCCAGATCAGTCATAAAGGGTTCACTCTCTCTCAAGAGTTTGGATATTTGGATCGTGGTGATAAACGTAAGGATACTGCCTAGTTAGCTTAGCATAAAGACTAGAAATTATAATTTGCTGAGCAATAAAAGAAAATGTTTTGGTTTTCTTCAAAAGTCGCTGCAAAAAAAGTAATTATCTTTGGGATTATGATTTTTGACTTAATGAGCAAAGTTTTTTAGATTTAACTAAATCTCTCATTACACACACACACACACACACACACAAACTGACAGCGTAATGATGAAAGGTCACGCGGAGCGTCTCTCTTCGTCTCACGTCTCTTGTTTCGTGACATTTAGGAAACTAGATTCTCAGAGGGGGAGGAGCTTCAAGTGGGGACAGAAATCATAAAACAAAAAACTTTTTACTGACGTTTAACCACATTTCAAATGGGGAAAAGATGCAACGCATTCACACGTGGAAAGTATCTAAAGGAGATCTGTGACAGGAGAGAGAAGAGATCTATGTCTAAACATTCTACCAATACAACGAAATCTCTCTGACATTACAACCTTCCAGAAGGACATTTCTTCTTCCACTGGTCTCAATGACGGTATTTTGTCCTTGCGAATAATAAAAGCTGAATACGCCCACAGACTACTTGTGTACTTGTGAAGTGTTTATTGGGTATAAAGCCCCTTCAGGTACGGAGTGAACAGAGCAACATGAAGATGGCCAAGAAGATCATCGCTATTCATGTGGGTCAAGACTCATCTCCCACAGGACAGAGCGACCCTCGAGAGGAGACCCGCCACTGTAAGTCTGACCCCCCTTAAGCCTCCCAGCGTCTTCATTAAAAGGTCACTTCCTGCTCTCCTGTTTTATTCTGAAACTTGCGTCCATATTTAGTGGAGAATGCCGACGCAGTGATCCGTATTAAGAAGGACTCAGACGAGGAGAGCCTCCAGATCCAAACCCCAGCAGGACAGGGGCCTCCAGAGCCAAACCCTAGCAGGCCCAGGGCCTCCAGAGCCAAACCCCAGCAGGCCCAAGGCCCCCAGAGCCAAACCCCAGCAGGCCCAGGGCCCCCAGAGCCTAACCCCCAGCAGGCCCAGGGCCTCCAGAGCCAAACCCCAGCAGGCCCAAGGCCCCCAGAGCCAAACCCCAGCAGGCCCAGGGCCCCCAGAGCCAAACCCCAGCAGGCCCAAGGTCTCCAGACCCTAACCCCAGCAGGCCAAGGGCCTCCAGAGCCAAACCCCAGCAGGCCCAGGGCCTCCAGACCATAACCCCATCAGGCCCAGGGCCTCCAGAGCCAAACCCCAGCAGGCCCAAGGCCTCCAGAGCCAAACCCCAGCAGGCCCAAGGCCTCCAGAGCCAAACCCCAGCAGGACCAAGGTCTCTAGACCTTAACCCCAGCAAGCCCAGGGCCCCCAGAGCCTGCAGAGTCTTGAAGGCATATTTATATATATTACACATTTCTATACGCATGACGTGGAGGAAATTGGATGAAACATTAAACTCGTCCACAAATGTAATAAAGAATATTTATGTTTAAACATTATTTATTCCAAAAGAGGCCAAACGCTCCGGCTGTTTACCTCAGAAAAGGCTCAGCAGGATTTAACACAAAGGTCATGCAGACGGTGCTGCACATCACACACAGACAACCCCCCCATGCAGAGGAGACACCATGAGGGCTTTAACGTGGGGGTCTGGTTGCCCCGACACCCCGAGCTTCTGACTGAAGTAATCGAACGGTAGAGCGGCGTCCTCCGCTTGATGGATGCGTTGAGCGGAGCAGCTTGGCTTCGGGATCACTAACTCCTCCCCACACATCTCTGGTCCAGAGACGATGTACTTCAATGTTGTACGATGTGACTCATTTACAGGACTTCAGGGTCTCCTGGGTGTGACGGGGGGTCGGGGGGGGAGTTCAGCAGTGAGATCACCTCTCTGGGTGGATTATGAATTCTCGAGCTAATATTGTAGCTCACAGTAAGTGATGAGGTCCTCATTAGGTCCAAATAGAGGTTTGTGATGAGAAGTTCACTCCACACCGACCTGGTTGTTCAGCAGGTTGAAGGTCACGTGCCCCCTAAGCAGGGTTTGATTTTCAGTGATCCACAAAACGTATTTTAATTTAGACAATATTTATTTCCTTTTTCTGTTAAGTGAAAGACTTCATAACGAAAATGAAATGTGTTTAATATAAAATAGCTGATTAGATTCTATTCTTATTAAACTATCAAACTAAAACATGTTAACTCGTCTAGAAAACAGTGTTTCTTGGGATTTTCCTGCAGATGTGATAAGACAAAATAAGGATGACTGTGTTTTTGTAAGAACAGTCTCCATGAGTCCGATTATTCTTTCTATTGTGTACATTAAACCCGCAGCCGACCTTCAACCGCCCCTGAAGGACTAAATGGCTGCTGACTCACAGCTGAACGACGCCTATTAGCCGGGCTGGAGAACACTTTGCAATCCCGACTAAAGGGAGAGAAGCCAGAGGAGGGAGAGGGAGGAGAGAGCATCTCTGAAGGGAACCAGTAGTGGCTTTGTGGAAATGGACCTCGGCCTCTGGACTCACTGTTCTCTCCCCCTCTCTCCCCCTCTCTCCCCCTCTCTCCCCCTCACCATGAAGAGAAGCCGTCTGATGGGGTTTTCTAATAATAAAGTGGGGGAGGTTTTAATCTACTCTTTTTTTTTTTAAGCGGGACGTAGCAAAAGAAAAGAAAAGAGGCTCATACGAGTTTTCTCTCCTTCCCTCATCAATAATACATCCCTTTCAGCCTCTCTGTGGTGGAGTCTAACGGGGAGGATTGGGTTTCCACTGCGGAGGAGGAAATGGTTTTCTCCTGACCAGCTTCATCGTCTAATTGAACCATAGCCTGTATGTACACAGTGGACGTAGTCATGGTGACGTCAGCCATTGTTCACGGACATTAGGAAGCCTTGGCTTTTGCAATTTGTCATCTTGGATTACGGCAGTTTTCAGTTTTTTCCCGCAAAAGGTAAAATGACGTGACCATATTTGGACTGAGATGGATGTAGAAACTGCATACACGTCTCTGGTGGAGGCCTGTCAATCAGCGTGTAGCCCCGCCCTAAAGCGTCCCGTTTGACTCTAAATGGACCATAATTCCCTAAATTAACATCATGCTGTATTGAAGACTTGAAACTAGAGACCATAAACTCATGTTTACTGAGGGAATAAATAAAGAGAGAAGAAGAGTCATTTTCTCATAGACGTCTATGGGAGGAGAGGAGTCGCCCCCCTGCTGGTCACCACCCAGAATGCAGCTTTAACACGAGGGTCACGTGACCCTGGGCCAATGGGCGGCAGCGGTTGTACTCACAGCGGTGCTGGCGGCAGCCTGCTTGGATTCTTCGGTGAGGAACGCCAACATCCGCTCCACCTTCTGCTTCTCCTCCTCGCTGATGTAGTCCGTGTCTGATGGAGGGGAAACACACCACCCACCTCGTCAACACGGAATACGCCACGTCGAAAAGCTCTGTGGTTATTGTTTAAGGAATTAGAATCAATTTACTGACGACTCTGAAAAGATACAAAACTCATCAGTCACTTATTGTATGTGAAGATGGACAATGAACGTTGTGAGCTGGTGCCAGAGAGGAGAATGAACGTTTTCATGGTTTAAACGTGGTTTGTTTCGTAGTTTGTTTGGGTTTTATTCTTCAGCTGAAATCACACCGGAGAGCAGGGGAGAAGCACTCAGCCCGCGAGGTACCGGCGGTCAGAACAGGAAGTGGAAGGGCCACGATAAAGAGCCCACTTTGTGCCCTCGGGGGGGAAGGGGGGGGGTACATTAACCACAGACTGTTAATAGGTGGGCGCAGTCGTTGTGACATCATCCAACAGTTTGTGAGTGACGAGAAAACTCAGGATTTATTTGCAACTGATGAACAGAAGTTACCATGTTTGAAATGCGGAAGAGTACGGTGGAGACCTGTCAGTCAGCGTGTAGCCCCGCCCTCAAGCAGCCCCTGCTTTATGGTCCACATTAATTATCATTTACTAAATGAACATCATGCTGTATTGAAGAAGACCTTTGGGGTTTATGGTCTCATGGAAGAGGCCATAAACTCATGGTTACAATGTTTACTGAGGGAATAAATCAAGAGAAAAATAATTTTCTCGTAGACGTCTATGGGACCAGAGGAGTCGCCCCCTGCTGGTCACTACAGAGAAGTAGAGTCATTTCCTCATAGACGTCTATGGGAGCAGAGGAGTCGCCCCCTGCTGGTCACTACAGAGAAGTAGAGTCATTTCCTCATAGACGTCTATGGGAGCAGAGGAGTCGCCCCCTGCTGGTCACTACAGAGGATGCAGAACCAACGTTTTGTCCACGCGGCACAAAAGGCCGTCAATAGCAACAGCGTTTTTCGACAAAGTGATCATCAGTTCTCAGTGAGACTCCAACAGCATTTCTGCTTCTTTTCACGTCTTCGTCATGATTCATGATCGCCTGAAACGAGCAGTCACCAAACGGAGCTTTTGTTCTTCTGTTAGGCTCCTCCTGCCTGCCCTCCTACCCCCCACATTCACCCTCTCAATGGATGTCTCTGCATTTGCTCCACCTATGAGCGCTCACCAGACGGATCATCTTTCACTGTGGGCGCCCGGCCTGTGATATTGCTTTGCTGGACGGTCGCCACGTGGATCTGCAGCGAGAGATTACAATCGCTGCACGCGATATTCTGAGGATTACGGAGCCCGGAGACAGAGGGGGGGGGGGGCATGTGGACGGCCTACAGATTAAAGAGAGGGGGACATTAGTACTGCAGAGGGAGGGCGATACTTCATGATGTGAAGCGGCATGCTCACTAAGACCAGCAGGGGGCGACTCCTCTGGTACCATAGAAGCCTATGAGAAAATGACTACTTCTCTCTTGATTTAGACCAACAAAACAAACTGCACAAGCGCGCGCACACATACACACACACACACACACACACACACACGAGGCTTTGGAAAAAAGGAAAGTGATGAAGATGATAAAAAATAAATGTAGAAGGAGACCCTTAAAAACATTGTTTTACTACGGTGATTCGTCAACATCCCAAATGACCGACAGCCAATCAAATCGAGCGAGACTTTTCCACTGACTTCCTGTTTTGATGCCGGTAGATGCGGGCGGACATTAACATTAGAGATGGTAAACTACCATTACTCATATAGCTTTGCATCCTCATTCAACAGCAAGAGCTTTTGCGTCTGTAAAAATTAGCTTTTTTCCCCTCTTTTCACGTAAAACTCCTTCACTTCAGTCTCTCAGAGAGAAAAATCTGTTGTGATTGTTTCCTGCTCAAAAGGAGAGGATTTTTAAAATGTTGTCTAAAAGTAACTACACAAGAGTTTAAGAATAAAACGTCTGAACTAAAATAGACCAGAAGAGACAAACAAAGCAAAGTGAAATCAAATTGGAAAAAGAAAACAGCAGACACCAAAAATAGTTCACACAGAAATGTCTGCTGAGACCAAAATAACTAAATAACTGAAGCCGAGAGACGAGAGGCCGAGATGACGACGCAATTCTGGAAACAGGATGAGAAATGTTGCTGAGTTACAAAAAAAGGACAATTGAAACATGGCCGACAACCAGCGGCGTCAACATTTAAGACATTTCAAAGTAAAGGTTTATTGTTAAGATACAAAAGAACACAAATCACTTCTGAAAACATATGTGTGTTTTTTTATTAAAGTGAGCACATCAGTATATTTATATTCTTATGTTTTATTGCTCAAGCAGGTAAAATATTTTATTTTGAAAAGTAGTGAAAAAATTGTATTATAATGGGAATAGTAATAATAATAATCTGGATCATTATTTTGACAAAATACTTTGTAACACTAACCCCTGAATGTCAAGTACTACCAGCGAATAAGTATCACACATAAAAGTGTTATTAATGTATATTTTGAGTTCTACTAATGAACTAACGTGGCAGCAGAACTTAGTAGAGTTAGTTTTACTGTGTTATGCACATTTAGGTTTAACGCGGCTTAATGCATCATCTTTCATCAAAGACGATGTTTCTGATTCTGATTTTTTTACTGCTACCGTTATTATGAAAAGAGAGAAAGCTAAATATTTCCTGTGACGAGCGGCGCATAATACGGAAAAATATCTCAAGCATCAAATTGAGTAGTAAAGGGACACACACACACACACACACCCCTCCCATGGTGGCCATGGAAACGGCCTTGTGTTCCCTTGGCTACCAGGGAGGTGCCGTGGTGACTGGGGGTGCCGTCCCCGTGGCGACTGCTCCAATCAAGGAAATCCTCTGCCTTTTTTTGTTCTTCGGACACCAGCAGGCTGATTTTAAAATCGACAGAATGTCATTTAGATTTGAAAGAAGAGAAAGACGTTTGGTCCTTCCTCCTCCTCCTCCTCCTCCTCCTCCTCCTCCTCCCTTTCCACCCTGAAGCTTCCATCCTGCAGCAGAGATGTGCAGCAGCCTACAGAGGTCTCTCATGTGCTACTACCGAGTACTTTATAAAGCAGGAGCAGAATGAACCACACTCACATGCGTGCAGCGAGAAGTGCTTCCGTTCCACAGCGGCGGCCGAGGGGATCACGGGGGCCACGCCGGACCCCAAGGAACCCACCACCGGGCGGGCGCGGGAGGCGGTGGCGGAGACCGCGGAGGGGTCACCCCCGCCCTCACCCAACAGGTGCTGGATGGAGTGGAGCTGGAAGCAAGGGTCGGAGAGCAGGACGGAGGCCGCCCGGGAAATCCTGAGGAAGGAGAAGTCATTTTACATTTCACCGTTTGATAAGTGACAAAAGCACAAATCGTTGATGATCATTAACAGAACCCTTTGTAGTTGCATCATGGCGGAAGGTGTGATGAGATACCACCGTCATCAGGTCCCCTCTCCTCCACCCTCTCCCCATGTCCCCTCTCCTCCACCCTCTCCCCATGTCCCCTCTCCTCCACCCTCTCCCCATGTCCCCTCTCCTCCACCCTCTCCCCATGTCCCCTCTCCTCCACCCTCTCCCCATGTCCCCTCTCCTCCCACCTCCATATTTAAGATTAAAAAGCAGCAGCTTCCTGTTTGTGTTTCACAATAAACAACGTCTTCAAGCAGGAGAACTGATTAAACGCCAAAGTCCAACGGTATCAAATCGTCTAAAAGTTTCCGTCGGAAATGAATGAATTGAGAGATGTCCTGTTAACATAATCCTCAGAGCGAGGGAATAAAACACGAAGGCAGCAGGTGTTTGCCACCGATAGGTCGCCGCTGTCCGTCACAGACGGGAACGCCACGGGGAAACAACGGTGACCTTCGCACTGAAAAACACGCCGTGACCTTTTAGAGACAAGTCACGAGGAGGGACACTTCGTCCCGTGTCTCCGCACGCCGCTTCGCTTCCTCCCGAGAGAAGCGGGGTTGGATGTGTCTTGTGATAGAATCCATTGATAAGCAAAGTGAGTCACGCGAAAACAAGCTGCAAAATGTCACCGGCTGTGTTGCTTCAGGAGTTCATTGTGTTCCCTCCTCTTTTAATCATAAGCCGACAAAAGGGCAAAAAGTCGGGATTGACGCGGCTCGTTAGGAGCAGGAAACCGGGAAAATCCCCCCAGAACGGGAACGAAGGGGGAAAGGTGACGGAAATGGACTCCTGGATGAACACGTCCAAAGAAAAAAAGGACTAAACACGGCGTGACTCAAGACAGGTGAGAACAGGTGGACATTAATGCTCTTTGGATTTACTGGGAAGAAGTGAAGTGTGTAGATGAGTGTGTGTTGTCTTAATCACACAGGAGACCAACAACTGAAGACAGCTACACACACACACACACACACACACACACGATGCTTCATGGCTGCATTCTCTGTAGTGACCAGCAGGGGGCGACTCCTCTGCTCCCATAGACGTCTATGAGGAAATGACTCTACTTCTCTGTAGTGACCAGCAGGGGGCGACTCCTCTGCTCCCATAGACGTCTATGAGGAAATGACTCTACTTCTCTGTAGTGACCAGCAGGGGGCGACTCCTCTGCTCCCATAGACGTCTATGAGGAAATGACTCTACTTCTCTGTAGTGACCAGCAGGGGGCGACTCCTCTGCTCCCATAGACGTCTATGAGGAAATGACTCTACTTCTCTGTAGTGACCAGCAGGGGGCGACTCCTCTGCTCCCATAGACGTCTATGAGGAAATGACTCTACTTCTCTGTAGTGACCAGCAGGGGGCGACTCCTCTGCTCCCATAGACGTCTATGAGGAAATGACTCTACTTCTCTCTTGATTTATTCCCTCAGTAAACATTGTAAACATGAGTTTATGGTCTCAGTCTCTAGTTTCAAGTCTTCTTCAATACAGCGTGATGTTCATTTAGAGTCACACGGACCATAAAGTAGAGGATGCTTTAGGGCGGGGCTACACAGTGATTGACAAGTCTCAACCGGAGACATATACAACGTCTCTACGACCTCGTCTTCTTCTCTCTCAGGTTTCCTGTAGGATCCCCCTCAGACTATAGCAGCATAAGCCCCGGGTGGAAAGGAGAGAGGGGGGTAAAAAGAGGGGGAGGAAGGAGGGAGAGAGAGAGAGATGAAAACAGCAACGTGAGAACACAAATAGACAAAAAAAAGAAAGAGCTGTAAAAAGAGAATGAGGAGAAAGGGAGAAAAGGCTTTAAAGGAGGAGAGGAGGAGGAGCCGGGAAAGCACCAGAGGAGGCAGACACACTCTCAGACGCAGCGAGTGGTGAGGAGACGGGAAGCAGCTCACAGCTGGATCTCCACCACACACACACGTATATGTATACACATATATAAATACATATGTGTGTGTATATACACACACACACATCTGCAGAGGAATAATTCATTCTTCTTCGGAGCCTCGGAGGAGAGACAGAAGAGCTCACAGCTGCATGTTTCACAGATTGGTCTTCCGCATGAAAAAAATAATCTATCATCCACCCACTGCTGAAGAGACAGAGGAGGAAGAAGAAGAAGAAGAAACGTCTCAGCGCGGATCAGCCGGAGGAGAGCGCGGAACAGAGCGGCGCTAGTGTGTGTGTGTGTGTGTGCGTGAGCTTTTAAGTGGACGGGATGCCGACTCTTTTTGTAGAAACCTGATCTCACTACTCGGGCGCGTGTCGTGGGCGGCGGAGAGCTCCGTGATTCACAAAAACAACACAGACACACACAGGAAAACCAAAAGAGAGCGAGAGAGAGAGAGAGAGAGAGAGAGCACCTCTTTGGAGAATACAAAAACAAACAAAACATCCCGGAGCTGTTGTGTTTTTTCTCTTAACGGGTTTCCCATGAAGGAGGACTCAGAAAGCCGAGACGAGTCTTCTGGATTTAACCACCTTCTTCTACTGTGTCGGAGGGGGAAAAGGTGCAGCCACGACTGAGAGGAATCTTTTCTCCGGCTGGAATAAAAACCTACGACAAGCAATAACTCTTTTTCCTCACCACAGCTGGATGAACTTTGACTGCGCTCTGAGTTCTCGTCCACTCTGCTGAACTCACGTCACGGGGCAGAAGGGCTTTGGTTTGTTTACTGCACCTGGACCTCTCAGGCTCTTTTTTTCTCTTTTGGGTGTTATCGTGCAGTCGCCTCAAGACCTTTTCTCCCGCCTCGTCAGCAGGTGACAGACAATTGCAGGAGGGAGCGTTCGAGGAGGAAAGAAGAGACTCTGAGCGAGACGCTCGAACATTTTCACCGGCGTTTTAAGACTTGAACAAGGTAAAAACAATAAAGAATGAGAAACAAGTGCCCACTCTCTCTTGTGTTAGTTTGTCAGGTTTGTGTCAAATGCGAATTACTTGATGAAACTGAGATGAATCCGACAGCATGAGGGATGTGAAACGCACGTTTTAAAAAGTCATAAGCCAGGTGACATCACAATCAGATATCTGGCTGCCGATGCCCGCGGCCTCCCAGTGGCGTCATGTCCTACATTGCTGGGGGCGGTGGCTTTCCGTGGGGTGCGGCATTGGCGGCGGTAACGTCGGAGCCGCCATCGCATTCGAGGCGGTTCGTCATTGTCTTGCTAGTTTGTGTCCAGCTCCTGCGGCCGGGTTCGTCCCAGGCCGCGGGCGTCCGCCCGTCTCCGGGCCCCTCCGAGGCAGACGGGTGCATCCGCGCCTCGGACATCCTCAGCTGCACCGCCGCGGGTCTGGACTGCGCGCCGAGGGATATGCCCATCTCCGCCGTCACCATAGACCTCAGCCACAACCGGATCGGGCAGTTGGAGGGGGGCGGCTTTGAGGGGCTGGACCGGCTGCAGACCTTACGGGTGGCGCACAACCAGCTTATCGTCATTATGCCGGGGGCCTTCAGAAACGCTTCGGGGTCTCTGCTGCGACACCTGGACTTGTCGTCCAATCGGCTGAGTGTGTTGGAGCAGCACTACTTCGAGGACGTGCCCGGATTGGAGGAGCTGCTGCTGTTCGACAACCGCATCGTTCACGTGGAGAGCAGAGCCCTTGCCGGACTGGGCAGCCTTCGAAAGGCCTACCTCAGCCACAACCGCCTCACCGACTTCCCCTTCTTCTCCATCCAGGAGCACAGCCACCCTCACCTGTCCATGCTGGACCTGTCCTCAAACCGCCTGTCCAAACTACCCCTGGAGGACATTACAAACTTACCTGTCTCGATGCAGCGGGGACTCTTCCTTCACAACAACTCCCTGGTGTGCGAGTGCTCCATGTACGGACTGTTCCAGCACTGGGACCAGAGAGGGTTTGCCTCAGTAACGGACTTCAGGCAGGAGCACACCTGTCTGGTCTTTGGGATACAGAAGGGCACCGTACGCTTCTTCCAGCACGGCCGCTACTTTGACAAATGTGACCTGGCGGCGATGAGTCAAGGGCTGAAGGAGCAGGAGAGCAGCGTTTTGGTGAAGGTGGGAAAGCCGTTGCTGCTGCATTGCGCGACCACTTTGGCCGGACGCCACGTGACCTTTCTCTGGGTGTCGCCAAATCAGGAGTACGTGGCGCCACCGGGTAACAACGGGTCGTTGAAGATGTACGCCAACGGCAGCCTGGAGATCATGGCGGCACGCGTGGAAGACTCCGGCATCTACTGGTGCATGTCGCTGGATGGGCGGCAACAGCGCAACGAGACTTGGGAGGTCAACGTGACCGTATTGGCGCACCAGGACGAGTCTCACGAACCGTTCAACACCGGATTCACCACCCTGCTGGGCTGCGTGGTGAGCCTGGTGCTGGTCCTCATGTACCTCTACCTGACGCCGTGTCGCTGCCCTTCGTGCCGCAAGCCCCGGACCCCGGCCACCCCAAGCCAGGGCAACGAGGCTGGAACGGGGAGCGCCCAGTCCTCCATCCTCACCCCGACCCCGCCGGCGACGACGGAGGGTCCGGGTCGCAAGGTCAGTACCAACAAGCACGTAGTCTTTCTGGAACCAATCAAAGAGCAGCAGAATGGCCGACTAAGGGCGGGGATGGGAGGACATTTGGGTCTGGGTTTACTACTAGAGGCAGAGCAGCACTCAAAGCTCCACAGCCAGGCGCAGCAGACAGAGCCCGTCATGCCCGTGTTCTCAGACACTCCGGTCAAGTTGCCGTAGCAACGTGGCAAACAAGAGACAGACTCTAACGTCACTTCCCAATGCCCCTTAAATTAGAGCCCAACCCACTTCCCCCAGCACCAGACTACCTCCCGCCGCCCCCAACGCCAGACCACCTTGCACTGCCCCAATCACCAGACCTCTTCATCACCTCCAAATGCCCCCTAAAGAAGAACCATTACACTTTTTTTTCCCCACTGACCCTAAAAGTAGACCCCATCCCACTGCCCCATCACCGGACCTTCTCACCACCTCCCACTGCCCCTAAAACTACACTACCTCCCACTTCCCCTAAAAAGAGACCTCATCCCACTGCCCCCACCACTGGACCACCTACCACTGCCCCCACCACTGGACCACCACCTACTGCCCCCACCACTGGACCACCTCCCACTGCCCCGATCACCAAACCAACTCCCACTGCCCCGAATCACCGGACCACCTTCCACTGCTCCCATCACCGGATCACCTGCCACTGCCCAAATCACCAAACTAACTCCCACTGCCCCGAATCACCGGACCACCTTCCACTGCCCCATCACTGGACCACCCCTCAATGCCCCCATCAAAGGACCATCTCCCACTACCCCCATCACTGGAACACCTCCTACTGCCTTGCACCCCAACCCTGAGCAAACGGGTAATCCGAAGTGACTTTCAAAATGATTTTTTTCTTTGCAGCAGCCTGATGAAGTTGAAGAGCTTGAATAATGTTTTAGATTATTTGATGATTGTTTGCCCCGGTCTCGCCTACTAGGCCCTACAGACAGCCATCCACCGATGCACTGTGATGGGACGGGCTCAGAGTGGCAGGGTAGGGACGGCGCGCGTAGAGAAAGATTGGACAGGGGAGCAAAAAAAAAAAGGTTAAAAACCAAAAAACAGACAGATTATGACCTCGGGGATGAGCTGCCTCAAAGTCTGAGCGAGGAATGTTTCAGACAAAATAAAAAAAGGACTTTGGGAATGTTTTTCCTGCCACAGCGACTAAGCATGGACCCTTTAAGCACGGCTTGTACCTTTAATAAACATTTGCTGCAGATGCCTTCTCGTATCGAAGGGAGAGGAGATAAAAAATATGTCCTTTTGTAGAGCTTGTTCTTTGTAGTGGGCTGAATAGAGCAGAACCGATGTGCGTAGCGTAGCTCTGTCACGATGTGAAATGCTAAAGAGTAGACAAGCTAGAAGAAAAAGATCTTTTAAGAAAAAATAGAAGCAGTTTTAAAAAGGATGAGGTTTGAACCCCCTACCCCGATCCTTCCTCCTCTGCCTAGGAACTTGATTACAGTCATCATTAGTCACGACCAAGGTCGGGAAATCAAAAGGGAAAAAATAAATAAATTATAAGCATCAGCTGAAACTATTTATGCTGCAGAAGAAGAATAGTGGTTTGTTTAGTTGAAGGGGGCAATTTTCAATGCTCTTTTTGTTTTATCTGCCTGAGACGACATATATAGAAATAAAAATAGCCTTCGTGTGCGATGAACACGGGACAATCAGGGCGGACATGTCTTTTGTTTTTGTATGTATTTTTTACTGTAATCCCTGCATTTGCCCCCCCGCCTCCTCCACCTGTCTTTACCTGTATGTTAATAAACATCTGTATCTGGACTGTCCAGGTGAACGTACGCCTACTTGTTGTTACTGAGCGGTACTCTGTCTGTATGACCCGTCTCTACACATTCAGCCAAGATCAGGTGAATAAACTCAGCTGACGATCTTCCCTTCTGCTAAGTCCCGCCCACAGATGCAGACTGGCCAATCAGACGTTCTCACGTTGCGGCCCTTTTAAAGGAGATGGAGCTCGTGGCGGTTAAACCTGCTTGACGTTTCTACTTCAAACTGGTTGGGCTGACGTTAGCGGAGTCTGTTAGCATGCCATTAACTAGCGTCATCACATGCTGCGATCATTTTTTAATGATTGTAACTGAATAAAGAAACGTATCAGCTATGATTTAGTTTCTGCGAAGAGATGTCATGTTTTCCAACACAACATATCACAAGTACAAAATAAGCCTGTTACAACAGTTAGTTGTTACTAGTTTTAACTTTTAAAGGTTTTTTTAACTGAATCTGCCTCTTAAAATGTATATATTGTCCATTCATCCACTAAATAATATTGTTTCATGTCCCTGCCGGGCTTCATGCTTCATACATTTGATACCGTCATAGTTAACAGAGCTGCTTTCTTTGTGTAAATGAGACAGTTTGCACACAAAGGAGAACATAAAAAGGTAGAATAATTCCACGTCAACACTTTGTTTTACTGCAGTCATAAACACCTTCACTCATCGTCATCATGCATCGATATCATCTTCACCGTGAGGAGACGTATTGAGTGTTTGCAGCCCTGCGTGCAGGAGAGACAGCTGGATTCCGACCTGGAGGCCGTAGATGTTGCTTGTATTCCCGGGTAGAAAAGGCTCAGCCGGAGCAGGTCTGGTAGCAGAACATTGGAGTCACGGAGCAGCAACACATTCGCTCTTCAGCCAGACACTTTGTCACCGGCCCAATTCTCTGCCTGTCCTCACGCGCCAGCGCACGAGGCCGAGCAGTCCGTGTGCGTGTGCGTGTTTTAAAGAAGTGCGTAGTGTGGAATGTGAAACCGGCTGTGAGACCGGAGGAAATGTTTGAAATGTTATTTAATATCAGCTGCTATAATTCAATTTAAAAAACATGGATGAACACTGAGGACTTAACGAGAGATGACATCATCGGCCGCGTCTTTACTAACCGCCAAATCAGACGGAACACTTCACCGCACACAGCGAGGCGGTGCATCGCACACGCTTATTAAAATGGATGAAGAATATGTGTTTTCAACAAAACCAAAAGACCCTTCTCACCAAAACCTCAACGGTTCCCAAATCCACATCCAAACCCCAAATACCAAACCCAAAACCAACCATCTATTACCTCTTTGTGTCGCGCTTCTGGCTTTATTACCACTGAGATGAAAAACACCTTTCAACTCCATCCTTTACATGCTAGCATAGAATATTAACACAGAATAGTATGTAGTGTATGTAGGGTAGTCATAGTATGTTAGTATGCACAGGATGTCAGTATATGTATGTTAGCATACCCCCCCTCCCCACCACCACCACCACCACCACCACACACACAATGACTCCTCTGAGTATTTCCTGTGTTTCCTTCACGCTGTTAATCAGTTCAACACGATATCAGTGATCACAAAGCCATAAATAACCGGTGGGAATCAGGACGCTTCTGCAGACGGAACGGGCCGTTAGCACCAGGACTGGGGGGTGATGGAGAGGGGGAGGGGGGCGGGTGAGGATTGTGAGTGCGGAGGAGGCAAAGTTGCACCCTGGAGGAATTTGTCCCACTTTATTAAAAAGAAAAAGTGAAAAAGGTTTTAAAAAGCATTACTTAAATTCATAATTGTAGATAATTGCACTGTTATTGTATATCCATTTCTTACTGTACATATCTATTTATTCACTTATTACACTATACATATGCACATACTCTGCACTTTTTGCTATTTTGCACTTCTGGTTGGACGTTAAACTGCATTTCGTTGCCTCAGTACTTGTACCCTGTGCAATGACAATAAAGTTGAATCTAATCTAATCTAATAGATGATTCAGCATGTTTGTAAAGGGGCCAGTTTGACTACAAACAAATATGCAATAAAATGAGTTTATCCCTGTAGTTCTAATAACAACTAAATCCTTTAATATGAACCTTTCTACATGTTAAAGAGGAATTTCGTTTTACATTAGCAACCAGATTTCCATCTTAATGCAACTTAAAATCAGTGGCGGACTGAGGACTTCAAGACTGGTAGAATTTCTACCCTTCCACGGGGTAACTGAGGCTCACGAGGTATTACAGCTCAGAAGAAGAACGACGTGAGACGACGTGAACTCGGCCTGAACTTCTTTCCATACTTCACACGTCTGTTTTTCCTGTGAACGGCGGAGGACAACACTGCTGTGTGCTGAGGGGACGAAGGACGGGGGAGGAGGTGGGGTGGGGGGGTTATCGCTGTGAGGCACTTATGTGAGATGGAGCGCAGAGCATCCATTCAATATTTAAGAGGTCTTCCCTCGTGTTCAGCTTCCACTTTACAACAAGTCAAATCAGGTCTCAGCGTGTAGAACGAGCAGCCAAAGTTGAGGGAGGAACGCAGAGTCACGACGTTAAACCACATTCGCCATCACGAAGCATCGACTCCCCCACAGTCTGAATGTACAACGGATGCTGATCCCATCGGTCGGCTTTTACACTTTACTTTCATTGGTCGTCAACCAATCAATCATACTGTAGTCTCGTTAGTCATCCTCTTCAAACCAGGGCCAGTCCAGTTCCAGTTCCCGCTAGTGACACCAGAATACTTTTAACACCAAAGCAACAAACGGGTGGATCAGCAGCTTTTCTTAAACGCTCATAAATAAAAACTCATCTATTGAACAAGGACTTCTTTGGTCCTGATGAGTCAACGGTTTCTGTGAGTTCCTCTTGATGGATTACGAGCCGTGTTTGTTGATGTGTTGTTGGGTTTTCTGAGGGGACACTTTGCCTCTTCGCAATTGATCAAATGTTCTTTTGTTGTTACGCAATGTAACGGGACAACGGCGTCCATCAGGGAAGCGGTTCGGGGCCACTTCACATTAATGATCTGCATAAAACACATTTTTATGCAGATGATACAATTTGGTGGCGAATAATCCAGCTGCCGTCTACAGCGAGGTAAAAGCTCGTCTGCATGAATGTGAAGTGTGTGTGAGACGTTATTCCGTCTCTGAACTGGAATCAGGAGATATTATTTATATTATCATAACCGTCTTTGTAAAGAAACTTGAAATACAACGCAGGACAGAGACGATGTGTTACGTGACTGAAATGCTCCCCTCGCTCCCAAAACCACATCCATTAGGAAGGAATCCCCATCTGATGTGCTCTCATTCTCTACTAAAACGTATCACATAATTTATTCATGAAAACCTCCGGGTAAATAAAACCAAAGTCGCTTCCTTTCTCTCAGGAACAATTTGGTTCTGAGAGTTCTGCGTGTCGTCTGCAGGGAAATCCTTTGTGCTCCAAAACGTTGTGAAACCAGTAAAAGAGGAGAAACCTCCTGGTGAAAAAATGTTTTTTTAATTTTGAAGAAAAGATGCAAATACCCATGATTCTTCCTCAATTGGTTGTTTTGAGTGTCAGCAAGTTTAGTTAAATAGTTTAAAACTATTTTATCCATAAGCGCATGCTAAGCCATAGCCGCAATCAGCAAAAAACAAGTTCATTACGCATTTTATCAATAGATTCTTCAAAATACAACAAAACATCATTGTCTCATTAATTCACACTCAAGACCGATCACGTAAAAATAAATAAACTTGAAGCCATTTTTCTTGCATTAACAAAAGTCTCTTTGTTCGTTCTCAGCTCAACTATTTCTGTAGGTTAACTGACAGTGTGGATGCATGTGGGGAGATCTATTTCTGCATTACGGACCATTGCACAGCAAACATCTGTGCTGCCGGCCGTCCTCTTAATTATCCTGGAAACAGGAGGTTAGTTTGTTGGTGTAAAAGTACGGGTGAGAAACTCCAGTTAATTTCACTTAAATGAAGAATGAACAAGATAATTAACTTTGGTCAAAAAAAGGGAACCTTACCATCAAACCGTGTGCTATCAGGCCTAAATAACAGAATCTAACCGTTTCATTAGGCCTTCAGCTGTCTGTGAGGACTGAAGTATCACATAATTACATCACAAAACCCTCTTTTGTCTTTTAAATATTTAAACAAACACGAGTGATAGAAGCCGCATCGAATGAATGTTTAATTCCCACCCGGTTCTTTTCGGCTGCAGGCGGCGGCGACGGGGCAGTCAATCAAAGCGACTGTAAACAAATTAATCACATCAGGTCGCATTGATGAGAGTCGACGTGAGCCGTGTTCATTTATTTAGCACGTTAGCGGCTTCTTTTTTCATTTGCTCCATCTGTGCATCAGAGTTCTGCAGAGCCGAGCTGCTGCTGCCGTTATTGTGCCAAACTCTCATCAGCGTCTCCTTCTGCCTCCGAGAGGAAAAGTCATGGAGATGACGGGCCAATCGATTACATAGACGACACACTCAAGAAATGCATATTGTGATCAGCTGAATCTACAAAACGGAGCCAACAGAGAGAATACGGCTCTTACGCTCACATTGAAATGTTTAAATAACATAACAACTTTGGTCTATTTCAATTCTTTGCACGGTGCTCAAATGATTTCGCCTTTGAATAATTGTTCTGTGTGTTTCTCCGTTTTATAGACAAAAACGATTCATTGAGAAGACTAAAACTAAAGTGAGAAGTCTTCATAAGGAATGTAACGATACTCTGCTTAGCAGGAAATCTGCAACACAGATGTGTGAGGATTCATTTTTGTGAAGGAGAGAACAAGAATATCAAAAAATAGAATGAAGAAAAAATGATATTTATGGATTCTTGCTATAATGAAATCTTTTTCATATCGTGAAATGAGTATCGTATTTTATAGATTGCAATTATATTTTGCTTTGCATAAAATAATCGTCTCATTCTGTTTCTCCCCACAATGTCTCTGCGTTCTGCCCCCCGTGTGTGATCTCAGGCACCAAACCTCC